TTGAGAGAGAGAGAATGAGAGAGAGCACATGAGAGGGGGGAGGGTCAGAGGGAGAAGCAGACTCCCTGTCGAGCAGGGAGCCCGATGTGGGACTCGATCCAGGGACTCCAGGATCATGACCTGAGCCGAAGGCAGTCGCTTAACCAACTGAGCCACCCAGGCGCCCCTAAAATTAAAATTTAATTAAAAATCTAAAATTAAATAAGGATTATCTGAACTTCATCTTTCCCTGCTGTAGGGCAAGAAAGTCTTCAATTTAACTAATAATAAGGCAAAAGATTTTTCCTTCTCAAAAAATAAAAAGGTATTAGAAAAATTCTGTCTCAATAAAATTTTTTATACATTTTCTTCTATTTGAACAGTGATGACATTAATATTAATCCACAAAGAATTACTCACCCAATGAAAGCCACCATCTGCTCCACTATGTGTTTGCTGAATGTTATTATAACGAAGATTTTCTGTAAAGAAAATAACAATTAAAATAAGTATTTCTGTTATCAGAAAAAAACCTCAATATAAATTCATAATTCTGATAAGAGTCTAAAGAGGTGAGGTCCTGCCCCGATTACAATTTTTAAAATTCTTTAAAAAAACAAAAACAAAAACACTACTTGCTAACAAATGCTACCTACTTTGTATTTTAAGGATGTTTTTTCTTAAGCACAGCTCTAGTCTTACAGGATACACAACCATGTCTGAGGGAAAAATGGGAGTCATGAAACCCAAGGCTGGGTGGACATTCCACATGTACTATGTATCTTAGAATGGAGTATACAAACTGAAGTCATGGGTTCCCATACATAGCCCCCACTACTGAAATTAAAGCTGATCAGCCTGAGGACTGGGATAAATCTAATCCAGAGGATCCTGAAAAGCCTGTACATCCTTTATAGAAAGTTTATAGAAATTAGCATTAAAGTTTCATTCTTAGACCCTGAGTGATCTTAGACTTTTAGACTTACTGTGCAAGCAAAAACATCAACAGGTTATTGAGAATCTTTATCAGACTTGGGTCATTTTCAATTTGGTGTTACTGACGTACTCTCCATTAATTAAAGATGTTGATACCTTACAAGTAAAGATACCTTTAGTGCTAAAAGGTAGCAAATATCCCCAACTCAATTAAATAAATGTTCAAAATAATATATATCATGAGGCATTTTTATGAATTTTCAGGAACATGAAATGGGAAGGACACTTCTTGAATGTCCTGAAAAAAAATTTTTTTAAAGATTTTATTTATTTAGGGGCAGCTGGGTGGCTCATTTGTTAAGCGTCTGCTTTAGGCTCATCCTGGGATCGAGCCCCGCATTGGGCTCCCTACTCAGCAGGAAGCCTGCTTCTCCCTCTCCCACTCCCCCTGCTTGTGTTCCCTTTCTTGCTGTGTCTCTCTCTGTCAAATAAATAAAATCTTTAAAAAAAAAAAAAGATTTTATTCATTTATTTGAGAGAGAGAGAGAGCAGGAGTGGGGAGGAGGGGCAGAGGGAGAAACAGACTCCCCGCTGAGTAGGCAGCCTGATGCGGGGCTCAATCCCAGGACCCTGAGATCATGACCTGAGCCGAAGGCAGACGCTTAACTGACTGAGCCACCCAGCTGCCCCGTGCCCTGAAGAAATTAAAAAAATTTTCTATACATAGTAGAGAGATGATAAGTTTTATATATATACATAAACTATACATGACATTAGTAGTAAAAATGTATTATACAAGTTCAGAGAAAGGAAAGGTCATATAAGTAGGATTAATAGGAGATTCAAGAAGGTGATACTAGAGTTTAAGTCTAAAGGACTGATAATTCTTTTATTAAATATGAGTAATTCTAGATTCTCTCTCCAAATTCCTGATGGCCGCTTGCATTTTTGTTATTGTTTGTCAAATAATAACTTTAGCCTATGCAACAAAAAGGGAGCGAAGAGAAATAAAATGAGTAACAACAGACTTCTTTTTATCCACCCATTATGAATCTCAGGAAAGTAGCTAAGTTAGACTAAAGCATATTATTTCAGATAGAAGACTAATAAGGCAATGACATTTTCTTCAGAAATGTCCTAGTGTTAACAGAGACACTGGCAGCTGCACAGCTGGGTATGTGTAAGGAAGTAAGACTGAAAAAAAAAGTTCACAGTCCTTTTTGGTGTTTGTGTATCTATTTTTTTTTTAAGTTTTTTTTTTCAATTTATTTTAGAGAGAGCTGCGGGAGGAGCAGGAGAGGGACAGGCAAACTCTGTGCGGAGTGTGGAGCCCGACATGGGGCTCGATCCCATGTCCCTGAGATCATGACCTGAGCCAAGAGTCGAACGCTCAACCAACTAAGCCACCCAGGTGTCCCCGTTTATGTATCTATTAATTTTAAAAAGATACTACCTATCTCATGAAAAAAGCAAGCACATGTCAAAAACAGGTACAAGATGGATGATGATTTCATAAACAGTGTTATACATATGGTGTATGAAGATTATGAAACCAAACAGACAATTATTATAGATCATTTAGGGAGAAAAGCATTAATATACAGGGGTCCTTCTAGTTTCCATAAAAGCCAGTTACTGGAGCTATAAATCTTTCACTAAGAATTAGAGCTAATAGTTTTGCCTCTCAGTGATTTCACCACCATGAGTTTTCCTTACCATCATTTCCTAACGCTGAAAATAAGCCAATGCCCAGATAATTGCATAATTTCATTGCTTGAAAACAAAACAAGACTTTCTTTTTATATGTAACAGCTTGAAAATTCACTGTGCTGGGGAAGACATAAATGTGCCAGATATTTAAGAACATATGTCTCATCTCATTCAGGCTAGAGGTCTGAGTGGGGATTCTACCAAATAAACAAAAGGCACTGGCCACCAAACAGCCCACTCAACCATGTGTGCAGAGGAAAGGGTTGAGTAGGTAAAAAAAAAAATATGGGTGTAGGGAACTAACAGTGCCCGAATGAACAAAGAAGAAACCATCTATAAAAGAAGGTCCTTTAATGGAACGAAAAATCTTAAATTCATTTATTAAAAATTTACTGAGTAGGGCGGGGTACTTGGATGGCTCAGTCAGTTGAGTGTCTGACTCTTGGTTTTGGCTCAGGTCATGATCTCAGGGTGGTGGGATTGAGCCCTGTGTGGGGCCCCGCACTCAGTACAAAGTCTGCTTGAGATTCTCTCTCCCTCTCCCCCTTCCCCTGCTCATGCTTGCTCTCTCTTTCTTTCAAATAAATAAAATCTTTAAAAAAAACCCAATTTACTGAGTGGGGCACCTGGCTGGCTCAGTTGGCAGAGCGTGCGCCTCTTGATCTCAGGGTTGTGAGTTCGAGCCCCATGCTGGGTGTACAGATCACTTAAAAATAGTATCTTAAAAAAAATTTTACTGAACGTCTACTACATGTCATATGATATTCTGCAATAAACAATATACATGGTAAGTAAGTTACAGGGTATGTGCAGTACTGAGTATAAATATACTGACTTTGGAAATCCCAATCTAATATTATTAGTGGGCTACTTCAAAATTTTTAGGGGAAGTTTAACAAATAGCAAGATATCAAAAATAATATTTTTGGCTGTTTACTTTAGGCTGAAGAAAAAGAGAAAAGAGCCAGAAGATAGGTTTACTATTAGATTACAGAAAAATCTGTGTGTGGTTTCCCTCTGATTACTTCAGAAATAGTTAAAACATTTATATTACACACTACTATTGCTTACCCAAAGAATGAGAAATGTTTGTCACCCTGAGCTACATCTGGATGTACATCAAGTGACATGCCTTTAGAAAGTATGTCTCCCTGGTACAATGGAGCACAGCAAACATATCCCATGGTCTCAGTTTAGTGAAGGAACTCAGATTTTCTGCTTTCAAAAACAGAAAGATTTTGGCTTTCTTTTTTTCCTTCCACACACATAAAGAGTATAGCTTTGAATTTATAGAGTTTTGTTTGAATTCCAGGGCTTTAGCCATGTATTTTATCTTCTCTAACACTCAGTTCTCCTATTTATGAAATATGGATAATAATTATCTCACTGGATTGTTCTGAGATGACCAGTGCACACTGCCTGGCATAGGTCCTGATAAATAGCAGGCTTTAAACAATTCAGTTTCCTTAATCACATAAATAATTTATAGTTTAGAAGGCAATGTAAAAGAATGGAAAGAACACTCCACTTGAAGCCAAAAGACATGGGTTCAAATTCCAGCTTTTATCTACTTTACTTATTAAACTTCTAAGTTTGACAATTATATAATGGGAGTAGTCATTTCTCTATCCAAGGATTATAATAAAATCAGCTCACAAACACTAAGTGCTTTGAAGTGAAGTACCATATAAAAAAATTAAGCATTATCATAACTTGAAAAAAACGGAGAATGTTTAAAAAATATACTATTTTTAATATTCTGTAATGAAAAATCTGGTAAGTTGAATGCCCATCACTATAGAATACTCTTAGCATAATAAATTTTACTATAATTTATAAAGAAAGTTACTACACAAAGCTGGGTGCATAAAGCTTATAGATTCCCAGAAAAGTGGCTATTATAAAGGGAATTAAAATAATTATTGTTTCTTAGGTATTAATACTTTCAAGGGATAATTATTAATTTTTAAAAAGCAAAATGATAGCTTCCTTCTTCCCCAGAAAGAATTGAAAAGATCAAAGAAAAAATTATTATTTTTTAAAGATTTTATTTATTTATTTGACAGAGACACAGTGAGAGAGGGAACACAAGCAGGCAGAGGCAGAGGGAGAAGCAGACCTCTCATGGAGCAGGGAGCCCGATGCAGGGCTCGATCCCAGGACCCCGGGATCATGACCCGAGCCGAAGGCAGACGCCCAATGACTGAGTCACCCAGGCACCCCTATTTTTTTTTTAAAGATTTTATTTATTTATTTGACAGAGAGAGACACAGCAACAGAGGGAACACAAGCAGGGCGAGTGGGAGAGGGAAAAGCAGGCTCCCCACTGAGCAGGGAGTCCGATGCAGGGCTCGATCCCAGGACCCTGGGATCATGACCTGAGCCGAAGGCAGACGCTTAACCGACTGAGCCACCCAGGTGTCCCAGAAAAAATTATCTTGATACACTGCAAAATAGTTTACTACTCGCCATAGTATTTTATTAGTTGAAAAATTCTTTTTTTTAAAGAAGATTTATTTAAAAAAAATTTTTTTTTAAGATTTTATTTATTTATTTGACAGAGAGAGAGACAGCAACAGAGGGAACACAGGCAGGGCGAGTGGGAGAGGGAAAAGCAGGTTCCCCACTGAGCAGGGAGTCTGATGCAGGGCTCGATCCCAGGACCGTGGGATCATGACCTGAGCCGAAGGCAGACGCCCAATGATTGAGCCACTCAGGCGGCCCTATTTAAAAAATTCTAATATGGTATTGTAATATTTACCAAAGTAACTAGCATTCCAATATTAAAAAACTCATTTCATTGAACAATATACTTAATATTATTCCTTGAAGGAGGAATGTCCTTGGAATAGTGAGTGACTATCACGGCAGGGGAGTAGAAGACAGGCTCAATAAACTCATCCCAAATGCCAAAATCTAACATTAGAAACTGGGCAGGTTTAAAAGCAGCTGAAGTTTTCTTGTTTCATTCTAAGAATTGAAGGTAGAGAGGTGTTAAGAAACTTGGGACAAAGGTGCTTTTAATTTTGAAGTAATCATACCAGGGCACTGCTCTTGCCTTTCCTTTGGTGAATGCCTCTGTGCTGCAAACCTCACTGGTTAAGAAATTCTTTTCAGGTTAATTGTGTTTTCTCCTAGTGAGATTTGCCCTTTTAAAAGGAAAAAATTCATATCACAGTTCTAGAAGCACATATTCATTTCCTTCAATTTTCTTCCTCTGTTCATATACGTGTGTGTGTGTGTGTGTGTGTGTGTGTGTGTGTGTATAGACACACATACATACCTCTATCCTAGGGCTTTTGTTAAGACTGGCTTTGAACAATAGCAGATTCTCACTTCTCTAACCACAACCCACAGCTCTTCGCCTCTTCAGAGACCCCTTTCTTCCCCATTCTCTCCCACACTAACATCTGGCTGGTTTTCTGTAAAGGACATTGGTGCCTTGAGAGGAAGTATTATTGGGCGGTATGGAAGAAAAGCAGAATTAGTGAAAGCCCATCTTCTCTCAGCTCATGGTCAGTAAAAATATGACATTTTTGGACTATGTATCTGAAAATGATGTGCATTTTCCTATTTTTGCTTGATAACAGCCTTGGATGAACAGTTTCACAAGGCAAAAAGTGAAATAAAGAAAGACAGGAAAGGAGGGAGGAAAATGAAGAAAGAAAACAAGGAGGGCGCCTGGGTGGCTCAGTTGGTTAAGCGACTGCCTTCGGCTCAGGTCATGATCCTGGAGTCCCGGGATCGAGTCCCGCATCGGGCTCCCT